ATGTGGATATCTCGGTACGACTTACAAGGGTTAACCCCATTCAATTGCCAGACCTACATGGGCCTGTGCCAAGAGGAATTTTCTTATCTGAGTGGATATCCACTCAGATGTCCCCATCGTCGACCGTGATTCCCTTATATGAGTGCTTGATTAAATCACAATCAGTATTAATAAATGTGTATGAATATTTTTAAGTACAACATTTACTAAATCGTATTAGGGGTAGATATTCACTGGGATTTCACCGTAGATGCAGAATCCCACGCCTTATCCTAGGTAGCAGCTACCTGTATGACGCCCGAAGAAACTGCTAAGATGCTATAGCACGAAACTTTTTCTCAAGCTTGTAGATACTATAATATAGTCTCTACAAGCTTGAAAAACAAGTATATTAGATTAATCTAAGGAGAGGATACACGTATTTCGTCAGCGCAGGACTTAAATTGATCAGAGATGGCGTTCACAATATCAGGGTTCTGCAGTCAAATATTTCTATCGAGGGGCCATAACCCGATATAGACTCGACGTTATATGGAATGCAAATGGAATTGACGAAGGTGAAACAATAAGCGAAGAAATCTAGTAGTTAGATCAAATAGTGACCATCTGTGCAGGCTCAATTTTAGGGAAATTCACGGCATTTCTTATTAACTTCGCACGTTGAAGATTATAGATCACTATAAACTGCATTTTGCTAAAATTATTGGAATGGTTATTATCCATCTTAACCAAAATTGCCAAGCCGTCTAAGGAAGTGCTAATCGATTTCACCTTCGTCACCAATTTCGCAATACCGCCATACATCAACTTTAAAGTCTTCTAGACTTGTAACACGATGCAGTAGCAACATAATAACTTCCGGACACACATAACCGAACTTGGGACTGACCGAATTTGGGACCGAGTCTTTTCACTTCTTACATGGAAGCATGCTCCGCATTATTAATAAGAGCGCCAAGCAATTTTGAGCAATTCTATAAACCTACCCCTCAAAAACGAGTGGGTCGTTTTTAGGATTGGTCTGGGGACATCTGAGTGGATATCCACTCAGATAAGAAAATTCCTCCTGTGCCAAACGTCGATCATCTCATTGAGTCAACAAATCCGCCTATCCACTCGATCCTTTCCTGGTGACGATCTTCTGCTACAACAGCTGGAAATACCTAATTGCTTTGTTTCGTGTCGGTCGACGAAGGACAACCCAAGAATATATTTTAATTAAAATTCAAGGAAGGGTACAAAATAATTTTTAAAAGTGAACTATTTTAACAAATTAGAATTTGGTGTCATTTTATTGTTCCAATTTCTTTTTTCAATTCTGTTAAGAAAAACTTTTCATTTTCAATTTAATTAAAAATTATTATTTAAGATAAAGTGATAATGCAAAGGGTATTACCGAATAGAAAACTATTATTTGGTAATATGCTCGTCTTATTTCGTAAGAGCATTTTTTGGTAAGTACTCACATATTATATCCTTTTTCTTGAGTCTTTGACTTTAACGCAAAACGGTATACTACATGTAGGTGGGTCTTGTATGAATGTTTATCAGTATTAGAATTGGTTCCGATTTATATAAGTAACCGAACTATTCATTCTGGTAGAACTCGGACTTACACTAGGGTTTCGCGAGGCTTGGATAGGAAAATGGGGACATTAATGACGCATTCTGCGCTCTCGCACTGATATTTGCTCGTCTCAGCTGCCGCCTTGCTATTCGAATATTATGATCCCTCTTCCAAAACAAGTTTGGTAATGCCACATCATGATAGAAAAAATATCACAGAAAACCTCTACCACCCCACATGATCTCGTTAATCGCATTTACTAGCAGTTAGTTCTGTTGGTATGGCCATCTGGTGTTAGTATCGAGATACTCCAACGTAAAAACTACTTTTCTCATAAGAAGAAAAGTATTTTGTGCTAAACCCTAATATAAATTAAATCTTTAAAGAATATCCATCTCAGTTGTTAATTTTCTTCTTAATTTTGCGTTTGAAATACCAGAACCAAGCAAATCTAAAATTGGTATTTTATCGGAAAGAGCTGCAATAAATAACAGTCGATAGCTACTCAAATAAGATTGGCTTGTTTCACTTCAAAGCAGCTGGATCGTTGCCCTTCGAGAAATCTTTATGGACGTGCTTCTCTCAATTCCTGCACTGACCATTGGCGCTGAAATCGGCTCACGATCTTTGTTACATGAATAGCTGGCGCTAGATCTTCGTCTTCATAACTTCGAGGGCGACCCCGCTGTTCCTCGACTAACTGTGCATCACACCGTTATCATTATAAGATTAGACAGGTAACTGATATTTATCGTTAATAATCGTGATGCCCACTTACATCGGAAGTGTCGGCGCCTTCACTTGCCTTGAATGCCCGCCAGATGAGTGCAACCGTGCTTGTTGGTGTGCCAAGACACTGATTAACCATTTCGCGTGTTCGCCATGCCATTCTGCCGTCTTCTTGTCGACCCTTTAAGGCCCTGGTATCTCCGTCGGTGTCTGGGTCTGGGAGTATAATAAGCGATTTTCATTGGCTGTCAGTTTATTCCCGACGAGGCACTTATTCCCACCCCCGAGGCGGTGGGAATTTCATGAGGATTTTATTCCCTGATAGGTATTCGATTCTCCGAGTCAAACGAGACAGGCAAACGCGTGGTTGTCATGGCACAACCGGACGAAGACGAAGACGTTGAAGCACTCGTCCTTCTCGTCCTTCTCGAGGTTGTCTGCGCGGCTGCGATTGCTGCAACTGCAGTGCAACTAAAGGGAGACAATGAAAACCAACTCACAGTGACAAAACTCGACTTTGACGCCTTATTAGCTTCCCAAGCTATGATTCATGGTTTCGTGAGCATTTGCGCTGTTCTCAACGCAATTTCATGCGTATATGCCAGCTTTTCGACCTTACGCAACGGAGGAGTTACTTAATGGGCGCGATCACTCATTTGAAAAGACGATGGGGTTGTTAATGCTGTACTTGGCGCCGTCGGGCAGCATGAAGGATGCAGGGCTAGCCCTGGGCATCTCAAAGCCGTACGCTGTTGTTACGATCAACCAGTTGCTTCGTGTTATCTGCAAGCGCGCTGGCGATTTCATTTTCATACCTTCAACACAGGCTGGCTGGCAAGTGATTATGGATGGCTTCGAGGCCGTGCGGGGTTACCCGTATGTTTGTGGCGCGGTGGATGGATCACTTTTCGAGATTGCACGGCCTGCTCAATATGAGGGCTGGTACTGCAAGGACTTTTATCCAGCAATAAATATGCAGGCAGTTTGTGATCATCGTAGACGCTTCATGGACAACGACATGCGACCGGGGTCATACAGCGACAAAAAGACTTGGAAGGTGTCGCAAATCGGCACTACAATTCAAAATGTTATCCCCCGCGGCTTCCATTTTCTAGGAGATGCTGGGTTTACTCTCAGCTGCGAGTTATTAACCCTTTCGCGAACGGGTACTTTTGACAAGACTCTATTATAGTTTAGAACGTCAAAGTCATTAGGCCATCAAAGGGGGCATTTTGCCCCCTTTCATAAACTACGGTACTACAGCAAATCTTCTGCAAACCCTTGTAGTTCAAGTAGAAAGGGCAAATCCGCCTCGTCCAACACACAAAAAATAATGAAAGGGGGGCATTTTGCCCCCATTCGTGGGTGACACGAGTGATACTCAAGGATACGCCCTCCAAGGGGGCAAAATGCCCCCATTGACCACGAAAGGGTTAACTCCATAAATCCCCCGCGAAGAAGGAGGTTCGCTCAACCGTCTAAAAGAACGCTACAACTATATTCATAGTGCTACCAGGATGGCGATTGAGTGCGCGTTCGGAATGTTGAAGCAGAGATTTCGACTTATTAGAAGGCAATTGGAGCAAAAGTCCATTTCAAACTGCACCAAATGCATCCTTGTTGCAATGATTTTGGACAAAATTCTAATTGATCTCGACGACGACACTATTAGCGGAAACGAGCAAGGCACATCCAACGACATGGTGTTGGATAACGAGCCTGATGTCGACAGGCGTGCTATTTGCAGGACTAAGAGGGATGACCTAGCTAGACTGTTTAATCTCTAAATCAGACACACTACTTGTCACCTCGAAGCGTTCGAATAAGCTCGTTGATAGCCGCCGTTTGTTGCTTGAGTGCTTCTTCTTGACGTCCGAGAGATGCAATCACACCTTGCGACAACGCAGTGTCGCTTCTGGAATCAGCTTTGGTTTGCATTGCTGCACCTAGAACTTTTACACCTTCCGCTAAAGCACGAAGTCCTGCAAATTATTACGAAAATTGTTAGCTTGATATTAGTTCAGGCCAATAGAATGTACGAACCTTCTTCCACGCATTCACCATTGGTTTTCTTGCGCTTGTTGCGCTTGGAACCACTGTTGTCGTCACTAGTTGAAGTGCTGTCTGTGTAGGCATCGTCGAGATCGGTGGTTGCATCAAGGAGCGAAGTGTTTTGCATGCCTGGGTTCGGAGCCCAGTGCTCGAGCATCAGTTCGAGACAGGGTGGTGCGGCAGCTTTTGACACATTGCCCGTGGTGTTGCGGTCATCCCGATACAGAGCCCACTTTTTTTAGCCACTTGATCTACATGCACCACAACAATGACAGTTAAAGTTACGATCCCAAAGTTAGCACTTCTTTCGACAGCATTACCTTGTCCTTGCATTGTGTGACGGTGTATGCGGTGTCCTCAGTCTTGTTGACCAGTGTTGCGACGAGGATCCACGCAGCATCAACCTGAGCGTGGTTGCGTGCACGTGCGAATTCGTCTCTTGCATTCACATACCTACATACAGCACTGTTCATTAGAATCCGATCATTGGGAATTAGTTGCTAGACACCCACTGTTATAGTTACCTCACAGTAAACAGAGTCTCCGTGGAGGACGTCGTCCAAACCTCCTGGTCGCTCTTCGAAGGTCGGCCACATTTCGACTGCGACTTGGAGGCCTCCGGAGCTGCAGAGGGCGGTTGCAGCTTACCAGAAGCGACTGGAGGCACGTTATATTGGGGAGGGCAGTGCTGCGCTTGCGCTGGAGTATCTTGGCCAGCGCGAGTTTCACCATCGGTAGCAGGCGACAAGAGGAGCTTCATGAATCGTGTAGGTGCTTTTATGTCGACACTATGCAAGTTTCCAACTGCAGGTAGCCAACCGTTTCTGTGTAACGATTTGAAAGGATATGCAGATCTCCAACTATATTCCTAGACCGAGATAGCTGGGTTCGACGTCGGGGAATTGTTCACTCGCTTATTCCCAGACCCAGACACCGACGGAGATACCAGGGCCTAAGAAGAATTTGTGTGCGTTCACAATCATAGCACGCTCACCGTCGCTAAGTCTTTTGCCTCTAGCCATCTTTCTACGACGCCTCTTGTAAAATAACTAACAACATTCAAACGAGAAGACACGGAGCATGCGATTAAGGGTCAGTAGTACTGACTCAGTACGCCTTCATCCGTCTAATAATAGCCGAGCAGCAACTGAAAATGTATCCATGTTAGAATTCCTGGTACAAAACTATTTTGGCCAGTATAATAAGAAAGACGACAACACACGCAGGTTCTTTGACCAACATGATGAACTTGTTCTAACAGCGTTTACTCCGGTATTTTCGAGATATTCCTTGTCTACAAATGCAGCTGTCAAAATTGCCGCTCTAAGTGAAAATAGGAGTGCTGTTCAGGCCCTTCGAATAATATATTGAAGTGAGAATACTATTGCAATATTTGTACTGAATAACGTATTTTCCATTTCACTTGAAAAATACAAATAACTTACGTCAGACAATTTCATAAATTATTGTGGTCCATATTAGCTGGAGCTGGAGCTCTGACAACCTGGTTGGTGAGCATCACCTTGACACTGTCAACAGTGCCCCAAAGCAACATTTATCCATTCTTCAATCTACCATGGCACCGGCAAACACCTTCAGAAAGTCTGTAACTTCTACTTCAAGCCTGTTCTCGACTACCAGGACGAGCCTACGGGCTGGTTTCGCTGTAGATGCACCAAGACACGCAATCAAGATCCTAAGCCTGGCTACACGAACCTAATGAGCCACGTGCGTGCTCAACATCCCAACTTCGCCGATGAGATAGCCGGCAGTGGTCTCTCCAGCGGCACGCTCATTGGCTTCGTCGACAAGAAGAGTTCGATAATCTTCAGTTGGATCGACTGGGTCGTCTCCTGCAACCTCCCGTTCAACTTTCCAGAAAAACATACGGTTGTCAAGTACACCACCATGCCCTCACTCTCCACCGAGAGCATCGAGAAGTACTTGATACGGGAAAATGAGGGAGCACCCTGAGCGGAGCACCCGAGTAGAAAAAGTGTAAGCACATGGCGTTAGTAAGTTGAAGTTATTGGACCTAAAAATATCTTTCTAACCGTAGATTTTGTGGTATTTATATTTACTGCGGAGAGGACGAAAGCCCATATCGTATAATGACCCAATATTTTACAGCTAGACACCACCAACCTTCGATCCACTATGTCCGCTCCTGCATCTGCTTCCTCGACTGAGATTGAATTATCGCCGAGTGAGGTGAACGGACAGCAGCAGCATCATCTCCCCGCGCCACCCGAAATGGAGTACGAGTCTGAAGAAGCTGCCAAAGCCGCGATTCATGCTTGGATCAAAGCACATCGAAATAATGTGTCAAGGAAAAACTTGGCTCTAAATGGAGATGGAAAAGTCCGCTGCCGCTTGTACGAATGTGACCGGGCTGGTAAGCCGAAAATACAAGAAAACTTAAGGATGCAGACCGCCAGCGCCCAATGGTAACGTCAAAGCGCTGTGGTTGTAAAATGCGCCTAAGTATTGTGGCGGTCGATACATCGGCCCCAACTGGACCGTGGCGAATTGTACATACAAAGGACGGCAGTCAGACCCATAACCATCCTGCTGCTTCAGACGTCCGTGTCCATGTTACCCACAGACAACGTGATGCACGACGAAGGACCACTGAAGGCACGTCCACGTCTCATTTAGTCTCTTTGCAGGCTAAAGCTGGAGTTTCAACATCTAAAATCTACGCTACCATGATAATGGCCGATGAAGACTCTCTTGTTCTCCCAAAAATATTTCCGTGCACGCTCTGAAGGAAACTCACAAATTGTGGAAAATGGCGCGTAAATTGGTAGTGCAAGGTACTAGATCAAACGACTGAAGCTCTTACCAGAGCAGTTCGACAGACACTGGTACCTGTGCGTGGTTACCGACCGAGTGGTTGAACCTGTTCGAAGGACTAAACGACAACGAACATGTGAACAGCCACGGCCTCACCAAGCTGGATACGGCGTTAGTGGCACACGACGCGATCCATCAGGGTTTGAATTGTCAGGACAAACTGAATTGACGGCTGACACAAACGCTAGATCGTTAACATTTCAAGCGTTTCTCGACAAAACGCTGAAGACTTCCAAAACGCATTTCTACCACCCCGAGCATGGGGGTACGCTGGGCAGCGGGATCGGGATGACTTGTTTTCTAGTGTGGTGGTAAAATATTTTATATCGCATATTACACGATTTAATGTTTATCAAAAACAAGGATAGTTTTATTAGATCTTCAACTTACTAACGCCATGCGCTTACACTTTTTCTGCTCGGGTGCTCCGCTCAGGGTGCTCCCTAACTTTTCCCACATGATACTTCTAACCAAGGCGCTAGGAGATATCATTGCTGATGTTCTTCCCAAACGATTTGGCATTGTGTGGGACGGGTGGACTTTCCGTTCCGAACACTACCTTGCTGTGTTCGCCGTGTTTGGTCACGACGGTAAGATGGAGAAGATTTTGCTCGCCATGTCCACCCTAGCGGACGACGACATCGTTAACCACTCTGCCATGGCTCATGTAGCCTTTCTACGCATGATTTTGTGGTTCTTCAAGCGCTCGCTGTCCGACATTCTCTACATTGTTGCTGACAATTGCGCAACAAATGGCTGCATTGCTTTGTTGATGAAGGCGCCGTTTGTGGAGTGCGCCAGTCATAGACTGAGCTTGGCAGTGGTGGAATACATGGAGAGCTACGAGTCCATATTGGACAAAATGCAGTCACTCACGCGTAAATTACGCGGTCTGAATGCGTCGGCAAGTCTGCGGTAAGTAACATATTTTTTTCCTACTAACAGTTTTTTTTTTTTACCTAAAATTTGTTTTAGAAAAAGAAACAATCTGCAGCCGGTATTGTGTCAGGCAACTCGAAGGTGGTGAAAGCGCCAATAATCTGGTTTTTCACTGCGAAAATTTGTTAGAATGATTTTTCTTATTCAGGTCGCTGAACTGGAGACACAAGGAACTAACGCGGGAGGTTTTGCCCCAGTACGTCTG